AAAAGTACACTCTACATGCCACAGCGTTGTTCCTTCTCGATTTTTCAGCAATGACTACTCGGATCCTCCTTATTGGAAACCAACTCAGCCCTTGCTAATTTTTAATTTACATAAGTACTAATTTCTGAACCACACCTTTGAGGGAAACAGTCGTTAATGGAGAATATAAAACATAAAGGGATACTGGAACAGTAATTCCTACATTGTTTTAACATTTCAGGAAAAGGAGTTATTCTTTCATGAATATCAGTTAAACGAACAGCTTTACATAAAGTATATTCAGAGTAGAAGGCTTAATATAAGATACAATATATCTTCCCAATTGGTAGTAAGATATACTGACAGAAGAACATAGTGCTGGAAACTATGGTATAATCCAAAACTTTGTTTCACTTGCGACTGACTGAGGTATGATCGCATCTTCCCGATGCTTAACTGGATTTCCAAGGTCTACCTTTTAACGTCATCAGCTGTTTATCTTCTAGTCTTACTTGACAAATAAAATTAAGTAGTTTGGATTTATGCGAGCTTCTTCACAGAATTTCCATTTATAAACATAGAATTCAAATTTCTTATTTGATATTTCCCGTTAGAAAAGAACAGGCGAATGACGAATGAGATTTTGCCGTATTTGTCATATAATTCTATTTGATGTCATTCCTCTTTCAGTGATTTCTATCTGCATAATTTAATAGTTCATTATCATATTACAGCCACTGAATCTCAAATAGCTGGTAACAATCATATTTCACAATCTGTTAGCATCCACTTGCTACAGTCCTGTTCTTCCCACCTTCTATCTGAGCAACTTCCAAGCTGGTCAGTGGGGGGAAAAAGCATTAATAGTATTACAACAGCAGGAAAGAAAACTTGCATCATATCAGCCAGCATACCAAACATTCAGGTGGATGTTTCCAACCATCCTAAATTGGTCTGTGCAGCTTTTACTAATACTTTACATTAGACTCCATGTGCATTATTTAAAAACAACCATATACATTAAGCTGTTAGGACTTTTTTTCTTTTCATCTTTTCAATTATTTAAAAGAATGCTTTTCCTTGTAAGGGAACTAGCTCTATATCTGGATCTAAAATCATTAGTATTTCTGTTATCTCAGATGCTGCCCAAATTGCACTCTACTTATTAAATAAAAACAGTCTCTATCCAAAGTCAAGTGTATAAGCACAGTTAATTGAGCATGAAAACACATATGGATTCCTCAGGCAGGCAACCAAGCTGAATTTTCTGACCCCATCTCATTTTTTCCCCTCTTCTTCCTCAGAATGGCTTCCATACAAGTCACTGTAATAAGCTGAACTATTTCTTCTATGCTACTTTGTGGAAAACTAGCTCTGGAGGACTGAAGGCCCTGCAAGGATGTTTGCAATTTCATCGTATTGGCTTTTGATTCTCCATAATAAATCCAAGCTAACTCAGGATCCTTCCAAGGTCAGGGAGGCCAGTCTGCATTATTATTAAAGATTAATGCATATTTACACAAAGTCATATCTACGAATGTATACCCTCAGATCAAGAAAGCCAATGACTCAGTAACTGACAAAAAAACCACAACTGTCCGCAATTTCCGTGTTATCACAAAGGCCAACCTGAACCCAGTCTTCATCTTAACAGCAAAACCAAAATGGTGGGTCTTCAGTTTCCATTCAAACAAATATTCTTTGATACTCAGACTTACCTTTTTCACAGATTATTTTACACTCAGTATTTAATGCAAAATTGACCTGGATATGTTTTCCTACTGCAGTCCTAGAGTAATTTTTTTTGTTAAAATCTATTTCATAGAATGCCTCAAGTTGGAAAGGACTCACAAGGACCATCAAGTAGAACTCCCTGTTCCCTGCAGGACTACCTAAAACTAGATCATATGATTAAAGGCATTGTGCAGACGCTCCTTGAACAGGCTTGGTGCCGTGACCACTTCCCAGGGAAGCCTGTTCCAGTGACCGACAATACCTATGTTTACCTTATAGAAAGTGACTTTGCAAAAATACAATTTGTAATTCTACGTATGTCCGACTCTGTAATATGTAGACAAATGTGACTATCACGTTGCCTTTACTACATCTTGCAGACTGCCATGACCTACAGCCTTGCTGAACGTTAGTTTCTTGGTGATGTGTGTTTCCATCCACACTAAAATGCAGCTACTTATGAATGTGTGAAAAAGGGGAAATCAGGGAGAAAGGTATCAGAGAGCTTCTTCTAAGCAAAGAATCTACTGTAACCAAAGACACTGGTAAAAAAAACCCTCAGATGAGAGCCACAAGAAAATACTGTTTTTTCATTACTACAAAAAAAATAATCTCCGTTTTTAAAGCTACGTATATTGGAGATCTGTTATATACCAATTTAAATACGTATTAATTTATGCTTCACTGATTAGGTATATCATAATCCATTATGATATTCTAGTATTTAAGAAAGTTTTGTTACCTACATTTTTAAAAAGTAAGTGGGTAGGTATAACTGGAACATTCCCACAATTTATACAATATAAGCATTTTTCTAATCAGTTAAAATTCACTGAAGCAAATATATTCATGCAAGTGTTTAGCTTCGGCATAGATGGGGTGAATTATTTGGATGAAAATGCAAGAACTTTTAGAAAGTTCATTACTCTTTCTGTGAAATTAAATATCAGATTGTTCTCTTAATAAATGGAAGCCTTCAAGAAAAGCCAATGAGAAACTAATGAATGAGAATTTAGATGAGGTCTGAGAATTCTGTGTTCAAGTTAGGAAAACCGTTTGCATTCTTAACAGCCACTAGCACTATCAAGCTCATTACTTAACGAGGGCAATCTAGCCAGTAAAACTAACTGGCAACTCAGAAGAAATAGCTTTTAAGTCAAGAATGCTCTCTGGTGACACACTACTGATGATGACTTTTATGTCAATAGCTGGGAGAGATACAAAAATGCAAAAGCCAGAGATTTCATCTGCAAGATCGGACTATCAAATTTACAGAGTACTCGCCAGAATACAAAGGAAAAGATTACTTAATTTTAGTAGTTTTCAAGTGCAATTATCTTTTCTGTGCCTTGCAAAATTTAAAGTGATCTATAAAAAAAAAGTATTAAATGCATCTTCCATGAGTTTGATGATGCTATTTATGCCTCTTTTTAAGAGCTCATAAAACAACTTGTGAAACTATGGTCTCCCATACCAAGCAACTTGGTGATGATGCTGACACATCGCTTTACTAATTAGCACATACTCTGCAATTGCAATTATGGTTTGCTTCTTTTTAAGTATGTTCGTACAGTGGAAATATCTCTATAGCTCTGTGATGTTTTCAATATGCAGTTAAAACCTTTATCATATTTATTAACTATCCCAAAAACAATTTGTCACAACAGTCTTTCCAGAAAGTATTACTGCTAATTTATATTAGTCAAGCCCAATTCTGACTTGAAAATTTTACTTGACGGACATTACATTTGGAAAGTTGATACCTATTGGGGAAAAATTTCATACTATTTTAAAGGTTTGACATGGTAATAAGTAAGCAAAGCTCCACTAGACAACAAGGTATGTTGGTACTTTCCTGTAGATTTTGAAACAAAGAAGTTTCTCTTCCAAAGGCAGAAAAGCTGCTTTTATTGTCCTTTGGACATTCCAGTGAAAAGTTCTTCCTTTTTCTCCCCAGCTCTGAATATGTTACCAGGATGCCTACTCTTCTGTATGTACTACAGAACCATCATCTCACCATTCTCCCACCTACTCTTCAATTTGCAGATATACTTCACAGTCACAATATTTGTTTATGAACTCCTTACCCTCTTGCCTGAACTTCTGTCCTCCACCTGAAGCTTATCTCTTCACAAATACTGCTCTCTGCAAAACCTCCTCTGGTGCACATACCACCAGTTAGGCTGGCTTTCTCATGGTTCTTTTCTTTGATCCTCTTGACAGGTTTCCAGTCTTCAGAGTGGTGCCTGTTCTTCCCTGAAGGGATCAGGACCTTATTTTGGTATCTGTACTTGCTTTGTACACCATTCAAAAGCATAGTGGCTATAATATATCTGGAAAGGGTCAGAGGATATTTCCAGTGGCAAAAAAAAAGGACACAGGAAAATGATAAATCCTCTGACCCCATTACAAAAGGACCCTCAGACTACTCCAGCTTAAAGAAATCATTTTAGATCAGACAGCAGCCCAGACTCCGTGTGTAAATTAAGGGAGAGAGAGACATCGGCTTCTCTTTCCCTTCAGGCTTTGTCTTCTGCAGCTACTGTATCCCCTAAAGGAACCACCAGAGAAAACAGCTCTGGGGGTTTTTTCAGCTCTTGTGCAGATTCCTGCCATCTGCATTTCCTCCTTCCATGAAAAAAGGTGCTTAATTTCCAGTGTACCACGTGGACGAGGACAGGTGCAATGTGATAGCAGGATAGCAGTCCTGTCCAACTTGCCAGAACGTCTTGTCTTCACACATGGACAGAACTATCCTGAAAACTCAGTGCGGCTTATTAAAATACTCTGCCAAATGCTACAAGAAGTGCTGAACAAGACCCAGTACTGAATAAAAAGTAGTGTTAAGAGCATTTTATAGGACCAGATATCGATTGTGCTTACTTGCAAAAAGTTTTTTTAATTTATTACTTCTACTGATTAAGAAGATGGGAAATGATTCATATTTTATTATCTGCTTAAATTTTTGCAGAGCCATCACTCTTGCTAGCAAACAACCCCTGTAAAAAAAAGTAGCTTTCAAGAAGGTACTGGCCAACTGAAAAAGACTGACAACCTGAGAAAAAATGACAGCAGAATGAAGTTACCTTCCACGAGATACATGCAGCATGTGAAACTGCGCCACAAATACACATCAGTTTGGCAGGTGGGTAGAAGCAGCAGCTGATGCAGACATAAAACCTATTAACCCTTCCAAAGCATCTTGAAGGTCAACCAAATACCACAGTGATTTTGAGGTGTTTTGATAGCTAGGTAACCCTCCTGCAGGGAGCAACAGCAGTGACCACAACAGCATCAGGTCTTGACAGAAGGATTTAACAAGCAACCTTGTTTTCAGAGGAGAACACTAACTGACATGAGCGTAACTCGTGTAAGTCAAATTTGTTGGGTTGGATTCAGTTTTGATCCTTCAACCCACAATCCATCCATAATAATAAATACAAGTTCAGTGCTATACTAAAACATTTCCACTTCCACACAAAAAGCTGAATTCGCTCATTAACTATAGCATTTTTAAATCCTCGCTGTTCAGTGACTTGATTAGGAATGCATTTTGGCAAATGCTCTAAGGAACAAAACATTCCAATACTCTCTTACAGTCTCAAGTATCAGGACAGACGTTCTTAGTTTCTCTTCATCAAACATACATGCTAGCTACCTCTGCACAGCTCAGCTGTACTTGTGCTCCTAATGACACCCACTGGGAGCTGGAAACACACAGCCTCATCCAGTATTCCCTACAGCAAAACAGACAAAGACATTGATTTTTCCAGTTCAAGCAATAGCAGCAGGTTGCCTCAGTTTCCTGCCCAGTTTCATCTTCAGCAAAATGTTTGCATCTTTACAGCTATTAACCTCATCACTCCATGACATTAAATATTGCTTTATTTTTCCTTTTTAATAAAGTTCTATATTTCTCTAATGTTTAGAGCTTATTGTTCTTCAGTGGTAAAATATCACCTATCAGGTAAAGAAAAGACGTCTTCTGTTCAAAATTTTCTGAAACTACAGATATGTTTGGCACGTGATTCACATACTGTAAGTGAACAAAACACAGAAATGTCTTCAGCCTCAAGCGGTAGACAAAGCCTTCCAAAAATGAAGTCTGCAGTCACTGCTGAACTGACTAATAATTAGCACATGGCATTGATATTGATAAGGCAGTAAATTTAAACCCTTTAAATAAATATCTTTAACATGGTCTAGAAGAAGGATTTTTCTCATTTAGCTTTTCTTGCTCCTGATATTTATGTTGAAAAACTAACCTGGGACCAGAAATAAAGAAGAAATTCTGAAAGAGTAAATGAGATACAGCAACTGAAATGAAAGAGCCTCAAGCATAATGCAGCTGTACCTACCTAACAGCTCTCTTCTCAATCTGTTGGACTCTGCAAGACTGTCAAATCAAAACATAGCATCTTCTAAGAAAAATCCAAGAGCTCCATTCATACTTGGAAATCAAATCTCTAGCCAAGCATATTTATACATTTTTCTAAATGCTGGGTTTGTTTTAAAGCATTGTCATCTGCAATTTGCAGAAGATGAAATGGAATAACAAAAAACTCAAGACAGACTACCATCAGCCCAGAGAGTTTACAAAATGGAAAGCGAGTTGTGAGCAGAGGAGGTTATAAATTATACAGTGGTTTTTTGATTTCACACCCTGAAGAATAACCTCAATCAGATTCCTTGCCCGCCAGGAACAGAAACTCTGGCTCTGCTTCTTGACAGCCACAGATGGTAATGGACAGCCTCATCTCAGCAAGCCTTTCTCCAAATGGATTCCTCTAATATTGACCATCACCCAGCCATAGCATCTGTCAGCTCCATCCTGTTGCAAAT